AAAGATTAATAATAATAATAATAATAATAATAATAATAATAATAATAAAATTCGCTATTAGTCAATTGAATTCGCTATTAGTCAATTGAATTTGCTATTAGTCAATTGAATTCGCTATTAGTCAATTGCAAAAGGCGTCCTTACTAGGAACTGCTTCCATCCTGCGACGATATCTGTAATACCATCAAACATCCACATCTGCCTATCCCAGGTCCTGGGTAAGGACTCGATAGATAGACAAAATGCCAAATCCAATCTGAACATCTGGCTGACTGTGCGATGATCAATAATAATAATAATGTTGAAAGGGACCTTGGAGGTCATCTAGTCCAACTCCCTGCTCAGGCAGGAAACCCTATATCATTTCAGGGTTATATATATTAAGAGAAGTTTGTCGAAAAAACTTCCAAGTTTAAAAAAAATATACAAACATATAGAAAACGTTCATGATCAATTTAAAACAAAAAATCATGATCATCAGCAGAATCCATTCTTACACTCAACACAGCCATTGTAAAAGCCCCCCACTATTGCTAGATCCTCAGGCACAATAGCAGGTACAGCCAAAATTAAGTACTAATTCCTCTCAATAGTCCAGCTCTCTGCCAAATTTCCTATTATATGAAGTTTTCAGACAATCAGAGTTTAAAGGTCGTGAGCCTGGGTGATTTTTTAACTTAGAAATAATGCCAATGTCATGGTTCCAACAGATGTAAAATATGTAAAATATGTAAAACAAAGCTCAAATGGTAAAGAGGTTTATAATATACACAGGGGCAACACTGGGGTGGAAGTTCACTCCACTTTTAACCTTTATTATCTTTTTTGCTCTTAAGGATAGTATTTTTTCCTTTCTCCTCAAAAGCATTTCTGCCTGCCTTTTTATCTAGTATTTTTCTACCTCTAGAATGCTTGAAATATAGACAACCAGGGCTTTTTTTGGTCATAGAACGCCCAGAACGGAGTTCCGGCACCTTTTTTGGATGGAACCTTGTAGGGTAGGCAAGGCGGGTTGTATGACGTGTGAGTTCTGGCACCTTTTTTTTTTTTTTTTACAAAAAAAACACTGTACACAATGCTTATGAAAACATATACTGTATACACATACATGAACAAAATCACATGCATATAACATGAAGTATGGATTAGGTGGGGACATTTGACTCCCTAAAAAGTATTTAAAAATCTGCAGTAAGTCTCACAGTTGTAAACCATGCATTATTGTATTTCACGCATGCTAAAAACCGGATGAAAACTTGCTCTTTACTGATTTTCTGAAAAAGTCTGAGGGCTTTTTACATTAAGTAAAACATATAGATTTCATTATACAAATGAAATCATCATGCAAGTGATATGTAACATTGCTTGAAAACACATCAGTACTGTAATCTTGTGTTGATTTAAAATTTATGCCTATCAAAACTAGGAGACCATTCTTATATTTTATTCTTTTCATCTCAGAAAAATATTTGTATGTGCGTATGCGTATGTTACGTCTTTCCAGCTGATGCTAGAAGATCAGGGATGCTCAACATATATGAAAATTAGTGCAATATTATGCTGTGTATTCATGCTTCTTAACAGCATTACAGTGTTAGGACTTCTGAATCTTATTAAGTTCATTTTGTTGCACTTTGACAATTCAGTACAGATAAATTATATATGGCTCTTCCCCAAATTCCACAGTTTACTTGAAAACCTATTGACTAGTGGGGGAATGATGGAATAAGTTTTTTTTTTAAACACAGATGAAGAGAATATCTACAAATGAATAGCAATAGTTTAGATAAAAGAACTTGGGATATTAAGTCTTTAAATTTTTAAAATAATACTTAAAAATAAATTCTCAAAATAATTGTTATCCATTTGCTTATATTTCCTTTGTAGGGAAGGTGCTCAAAAGGGTGGTGACCACAAGCTGCATATGATCCTGGGGAAAAATAAAGATTGATTTGGACCCATGCTATATCCTAACATACAGTATGTTATTATGGGGCCTTTACAGGATGAGAAGTTGGAATACAAGTTGATTTGCCTTGGTTTTGACTATGATATTTTCTTGAATTGACTCTGGACCGAGCTGTGGGAAATGTAATATAGTGATTTCCTACCTACAAAGCTACTTTTTGAGGAGAGCACTGAGGCGATCATTCCTCAGATGTATGGCAGTTAAATTATTGTATTCTACAGTGTTCCTTTTTGCCCCAAATCTCTCAAAAGCCACATAAAGCCCTTGGGAACAGTGATCAAGAAATTTGGAATAAAATTTGATGAAAGTGGTGATGATTCCCAATTTTATTTCTCTATGTCATGGAGCCAGAAGAACCTATGCAGTTCCTGCATAAGTGTCTGGATATAGTGGTATTCTGAAAAGGGGTCAATAATAATTGTAAATAATTTAATAATGATGTAATAATAATATAATACCAATTTGATGAAATGTGAACTGTGGACAGGCAGTTCTTTTGTCCAGAATTTAGGGAAATTACCTGGTTTGGATGAGATTGTATTATCAGCATTACTCCAAAGTGTACCAAAGCATTTATTAGCATTATTATTTATTTTTTGGCACAAATAGTTTTCAGCCTTTTTCTAGAACTGATTGATTCCTCAATTGTGGAATAAGTGATCCCCTGAAATTTATGCATTTGGCAGCGTCAGGTTTAGAACATTGCAATGTGCTATATAGACTGGAAGTTGGGGAGAGTGCAAATTCTTCAATTAGATTTCTGAAAGGGGAAACGTGCCACAAAATATTATGCCAAATGCTTATAATGGTTATAGAAAAATCCAAAACTATTAGGATCTAAATATATGGTGAAGCATCAGCTCCATCATATACTTGATTATTAACTAAAAATCTAGTATAAAAGCCCTCTAGAGGGTGCCACATCTGCTAGCAATAATTTTTGTGTGACCCAAAAGATGGTATTCTTAGTCTTAGTGAACAGATTCCAGTGCTATCTTAATATGTATCTGTATATCCATCCAGTTCTTTAAGGGATAATGCAACAAATTTCCATTTTGATGGTACAGGAAGTCCTTGTTTAGAAAGCACAATTGCGGTTGGTAACTTGGTCAGTAAGCAAAGTGATTGGTAAATGATACTGAGACTGTGATTATGATCTTACTTCAGCTTTCTTTTGCTTTATAGACTTGCAAAAGTTTAAATACGAGGATTGGTCACAACATTGCTTTTTTCATCAGTTGTAACTGCAAAGGTCACTAAATAAAAACTACCTGTATTATTATTTTATACATACACACCGATAGAGGGGGAAAATACTTTATTTATATTTATTTATGCAGCTTATATCTTACTCCAATCAACTGGGTGGTATATGACTCCTCAAATTTGTAATTTGGCTAAAAAACAGATGGATTAATAATCAGGTTTAAAACACATTGTATAAAAACTGAGAAATAATTTCCAAGACAAACATTTGATTGAATTATTCATTGTCTTCTTGTAATTCTTTTAAAAAGTGATTTTTAAAAAATTAGTGCAATTGGATTCACAATCTGAGGTTGTTAAATAGTGAAATGGAGGATATAAATTTTATGAATGAATGCATAATTAATTGAAATCAATGGTTAGATGTCATCTGAACCCTTGGATAATCAATAACTGGTTTTGAAACAGTTTTCCTAACTAACTTCATGATCTAATATGCTTTTAGATGGTTTTTACATCAGTGGAAGGTACATATGATTCCTCCCTTTTCTGCACTAGAACTTGTGAGGCTTATGTGTAGGCTGTTCCCTTGGTAGTGAACAAGTTTTGGAACCAGTTACCCAGAGAGACATGTTAGGTGAACAGAGTGATTGAAATGAAGATGTAAAATAGACAGTTGGTAAGTCTTCCAGGCATAAAATGTTGTGTGGGTATTTCAGCCAATCTGGCTCATATTATTTAATATCAACAATGATGCTTTTTAAAAATATGGTAGGTTTGGCTGTTTAAAGGTCTTCTATGAAATGCACATCTCCATGGGTGCCTTTTAGGCAAGAGAAAAACTCTTTTTTTCTCAGCAATATGCATACATACACAGACAAACACATATACACACACATATATGTACACAGAAAGAGGCATAAATACAGGCATTTTCTATTGATTTTAAATGAAGTTTTTTTAATAGATGTATCCCAATTATAAGAAGGTAATGTAAAATCACAAAGGTTAAAAGAAAACCCTGGAAGATAACCCTTGTAAAACAGTACAGTACCACAGTTCTACACCCCATGAAGTGAGTCTGCCTTTTTTGAAATAGGACAACTTGCTGTGTCTGCTCTTTCCAGCAAGATGCCACTTTAACTTCAATTTCCCTATAATAAACTGAAAATACTAGGGTCCAAAACTACTAATGTTATCAGCATAGCAAACTCTTCAATTGTATAATTCAACTTGGCGTTATTTTAAACCAGACATATTCCCAACATACATTATCGGACTGATTTTAAAAGAATCCACCTTCTACTTATTTGGATGCCATTTTGATTCATTCAAATGTTTGAAAAACTCAACAGGGTCTCTCCCTCCCTCTCCCTCTTCCTCTTCTTCCCCCTCTCTCTTCCTCTGAGTAATGCTTACTTCCAGTACTTGAAAAGCTAAATTTTCAATTGCAAATAAAAGTACAAAAGTAAAAAGAAAGGCAAATCTGTATGTACACTTCTGAATGCAATTCTTTCCTCCCCTCTTATTTTCTTCTTCATATATTGATGCTTGCTTATTTGATAGGGAAGTAATGAACTGCTGGTACTTGAAAAGCCAAGCTCTTCCCCCGTTGGGATATTCAATATAGGGAACTGATTATCAGAAAAGAGCTGGAGGAAAGTGGGGAAATCCAGGGAAGGGCGATGGGAAGGATGGCAAATCTTTGTATACCCGAAGAGCCTTGGATGACCTGAGCTTCCCCCACCCCCCGCCGCCCCCTCTTCTTGCTTCATGCGGTAAAACCACGTTGAAGAAAGAGGGCAGTCGCGTACAGCCCATCTCCTTCCATTTGCCTGTACCAGCTTCTGGCAAAGAGAAGAATTGGCAATAAACGTTCTGACCAAGGCAGGAGTGAATTGCGTCCTGGATTCGGGCGAAGGTAGGTCTGTCTAAGTTTAATCAGAGCGAGCTTAAGATCGTAGGCAAAAGAGCCCAACCCAAGACTTTATTATAAATGCCGATGTATGATAGATAGGGTGGATTTGCCGACCAATTTGAGACCCTCGGCTGTATCCAGCGTGCTTGTGCGCAGGGAAAAATGGGACTTGATTCCCTCCTCGGAGTATCTTTCTTCCACCCCTTTCATTCCTCCCTCTCCATCGTGGTGCTTTGGGCTTCCTGTCCCTCAGGGAGAAGAAAGAGGGAGGGGGTGTGAAGAGAGTACGGTGCAATTTGAAATCTGCCTTGCGATAGAAAAACCCACCTCCACTGCTTAATTCTGTAGGCATTCAAAGCCATTCCGGGAAGAATGGGAAGCAGGAGCTGCTGCAACTGGAATTCTCTTGTATGTATTTCATTCTGTTGTCAGGCATTGGCGGGAGGAGGGATGATGCTAGTGAAAGAGATGCGTGCGTGTGTTTGTCTGAGTGAATGTGATAGATACAAAGATAAAAAGCAGCGAGAGCAAGAAGTTTCGGGCACAAAATGCTTAGCATCGCCCTTGAATCTCCATTTCCAGGACCGGAGGAACTCCTTAGGATTTGGGTTGCTGAAATCGCTGTCCAGGGTCCTGAAATCAATAAGTAGCCTAGCCTATGCAACAGGAAGCCCAGACAGGCGAGCTCAGCGAAACATCTCTTTCCTATTAGCCGATCGCCTTTTAAATCTCATTAAACTACTTAAACTCTAGCCGCCTGACTTGCCACCTCTCCTGCCCAAAGTCTGCATGAAAACCAAGAGGTGCCAGAAAAACACATCAGGACTTTGTCTGTGGTTGCCTTAGTAACTAATATGTTTTTCCCATGGCTTGCATAGTTGTAGCTCATACAGAACTACCGATTTTCCTTGCAAAATTCCAAAGATTAATAATCTTGCCACAAGAGGCTGTACCTTGTTTGGTTGTTTAACAATTCGAGCTTGACCTTTAAATGACATTTTCTTTCTGCTTTTATTTTCCCTTTTTCTTTTTGGTGATGTTTGGAATGCGCATAGCTTTCTGATCCTTGAGTAAACAATTTGGCTTTTTTTTTAAAAAAAAAAAAAAATTACATGACCTATGGAAGTTTTGTAACTTATAAGGTTTCCTCAGTCTCATTCAAATATGAGATTACAGGTAAAGCCACTTCTCCTAGTACATAAAATATATTCTCAATTATATACATGCAGGTTGTCAAGTATGAATGAATTCATCTAGTCATGCAAATATCTGCCAATGAATGTATCACTATTAAACTATTATGTGGAATGAATTCTCTGTGATCTTCATGATAGATAGATAGATAGATAGATAGATAGATAGATAGATAGATAGATAGATATTTTATTTTTTGGAAATTGTATTTAAGGACAGCTTGCTCTTTACAGCCAATTGATTATGATATCTACTAATAGTCTAGGCAGGTGGAGAGGGATACTTATAAAGGAAATGACCTTTACAGTGTTTGGCTGTGCCATACTTTTAGTTGATGAATGTGTTCTGTTCTTTCTTCTCATGTCAACAGGCTACAATTCACGCCTACAGTGACTTCTGTTGCCCCTTTAAGCTTTTGCTTTAATATCACCTTGGAGATTCTTAAGAAGTGAAATATTGAAGAAAGTCTGTGATCTTCTTTATGCTTTTAACCATGTGTAGACAGGAAGATCCCATGAAACTGGTCGCTTGGATATGGATGGTCTCCTGCAACAAGATGATAGGGGTCCTGCTTGTCTTTTTTCCTGCTATCCTCTTGGAGATGGACTTTCTCCCCAGGAATACGGGCAGAAAGGTTTTGATTTCAACCGCTTCTTCCCAGAGATCAGTAGCCAGAATGGATGGGGATGTCATTATAGGAGCCCTCTTTTCAGTCCATCACCAACCCCCAGCTGAGAAGGTACCAGAAAGGAAGTGTGGTGAGATCCGAGAACAATATGGCATCCAGAGAGTTGAGGCCATGTTTCACACTTTGGATAAGATAAATGCAGATCCATTTCTGCTGCCCAACATCACTCTAGGCAGTGAAATTCGAGATTCCTGCTGGCATTCTTCAGTAGCCTTGGAACAGAGTATTGAATTCATAAGGGATTCTTTGATCTCTATCCGAGATGAAAAAGATGCCCTGGGTCGTTGCCTGCCAGATCCTTTATATCACCCCAATATCAGGGCTAAAAAACCCATTGCTGGTGTCATTGGTCCAGGTTCGAGTTCTGTAGCCATCCAAGTGCAAAATCTGCTTCAACTTTTTGATATTCCTCAGATTGCTTATTCTGCAACCAGTATTGATCTGAGTGACAAAACTTTGTACAAATATTTCTTGAGGGTGGTTCCATCTGATATCCTGCAAGCTAGAGCCATGCTTGACATCGTCAAGCGTTACAACTGGACATATGTATCTGCTGTGCATACTGAAGGTGGGTAAGGCATTTGATTTAATTGTATTGAGCTGTTGTCCAGAATGCCCTTCCAAATGTTTATCTAACTTTTATTCTCAGGACCACTACAAGTAATTTACATTTTAAGAAGCAATGGTTATGAAATACATACTTGGTATTAAATACCTTGACTTGAATCATAGATTAAATCATAATGCAGTTGGCTTGCTTTTGGCTTAATAAGTTGTAAGAGCCAGCCATTGTGGTTTTTAAAGCATGACTTATAGCTTAATGTGAATCAAACACTTTACCTTATTAGGGAACCATTATCAAAACAAGCTATGGTTCAACAATATGTGTGAACCATAACAAGTGCCTGGATGGATTTCTACTTGAATTTCCAAAACTGAACTTCCAACTCTTTGACCAGATTAGATAAACACAGCTTTTTTAATAATATTGTTTTGTTCACTGCTTAGTTTGAGCCAAAAATAAATCACATGATATATAAACCATATACAAATCCTCTTTTATTCTTTATGCTATTGTAAACAACTGAGAGCTGCCAACCAAGAATACTGAAGACAAAGAGGTTTAAACCTTCTCCTTACCACTTTTCCTTTGTAAAGCTGTTTCTTTTTCTTAAAAAAAAAAAGAATAAACAATTCAAAAGGAATTTAGTATATTTTAGAATTGAATCTTAAATCTTTTTTTTTCTCTGGATAATAAATCAAAAACTTTTCTTTTACATAAAATGCATTCATTGTTTCATATCTTTTCATTTTAGAATGAATATAAGACATTATCTTTGAAATTTAAGCTTTGGTTTTGTTTAAAATTCTTTTTTGGGACACTTTCATATGAGGCAGAAAAGTGGTTGTATTTTTATTGTTATTTTTTTTACAAAATAGTAATGAATTTTATCCTTGGATATATATGGAACTAATTTGTATTTATCAAAGAATAAGCATAACAAAGTTTGAGATTCTGGTGTAAATTGACAGCTACTGTTTCTTATTCTCCATGTTCTTTACACTAAAGTATTGAATCTAAAAATAAGTTGTGATCCTAAGTTTATTGTAGAAAAAGAAATACCCATTTATCTTTGACTATTGTATTTTACTTAAGATAACATTTCCTTTCAGAGAAGTTGAACAACCTCAAGTTTCATTTCTTATTAAATAGGTAAAAGGTATGGAATTCTACAAAGTTACAGGTGACATATACAAATTATTATTTTTAAAGCTCCCAATTCAGAACTGAAGTGTATAGATTTTCCATGAATATGTTTCATTTGTTTGTATGAATAAAAATACCTCCCAATGTCTATTATGTCAATTCCATTTTTCCCCAATGAAGCTAAAGCTGTTTCAAAAACTAAAAGATGCAGTATGACCCCAGAAAATTTCTTTTCATTGGACATTACAATGTTGTAAATATTAATGCCCAGAAAGCTATTATTCTATAATATACTATTATTATACTTATTATATTATTATCTTATGCTAAGTATAATAGTATACTATTATATAGCATATATTATATATAGTGTACTACTATAGTATATTTATGTAAAATAAATAGTATAGTATACTACTATGGTATTTATGTAGAAGAAAATAACACGGGGCTAGATTCTCAGAGGAGGTTTAATAGAGATGGTTTAATGATATATTCTAATTAGAGGATGAATTTTCTAATGATTACTAGAATGAAGATTCATAGAAGAAACTGATCGGAACTTGGAAGCATTTGTCCATGGCCATGTCATGATAGAAAAGATAAAAAATAATGCAGTTTATTGTGATGTCTGCTCAAGATGATGATTTATCTGTTTGCAAAATTTAAGACTGGTCTTGGTCAAATGATTTTGGATTTCATTTTGCATTCAGTTTCACAATGTCCACAGTGCAGTTATGGTTTTTTTTCATAATTCTTTAATCAAATTCAGTCTGGATGAAATAAGTGTCAAGTTTTGATTTCCTGTACCTTCTCTAACCTGGCATGTGTTGGGACTGCAGCTCCTAGAAGTCCCCACCAAAGACTTTCAATATTTTCAAGAGCGGAAGATGCTGATCACAGATCTCTGCTATGTAATTCCATTTTTATCCTTAGCGTATAACTGTTTACATAACACAGAATACAAAATTAAGTTATGTTGTATCTCTTCAGAGAGAAAGGGGGTGGAATACAATCTAAAGTTGGCATAATGCAAGCTAGAGATAGTACAAGTGCTTTTTTCCCCCTTGAGTTATACTTCAGTGAATTTGATACAAATGCATGTTTTCCCAAATGAAGAAGATGTAAAGCATTATAAAGTGTGCTCATTTAGAAGGAACCCTTGTGCAGTCAAGGGGGTTTCCCAGATAAATTAATGCAGAATTGCCCTTATGAAGTGATTCTCATTTCAGTGGCTTGTAATGTAGGGTCTGAATGCTTGTTTTGCAAGTCCAATATTCTCCTCCCTGATGTGCTGACTTCACACAAAGTGTGAGAGAAATCTCAGTGCCCTTTTATTTTATATAATGTAAGAAAACATTTAAGAATTAGTCATCTCTGAAACGCAAGTTAATTATCCACGCTAAACATTCTTCAGTTTGCTGAGGAGACTGATTGTTAATTTTATTTAAAAAAAATTGATTTCCTTTTGAAATTGCCCTGCCATAAAGAAATGGTGCAATATGACATCTCTATAACATCTGAATTAAAACCTTAATATCAGAACCTTTCCAGATGAGAGGGGAAATGCCATTCTATTCTTAGTGGTTTTTTTAGTGCTACCTCCAATTTAGCAAAAGATACGAATTTTAAAACAGGCTATGAAAGATTGGAAATCATGAGGGCCTACCTAAGAATTTTCCGTTGAAATTATGTTTATAAGAAATTCCTGTGTCAAAATATATTAGTAATTTATATAGTAGTGTAACAAAGCTGACAGTGAAAAAGCATGGGAAGAAGCCATATTTCATATGTTAGACCACTTTCCAGATGATAGCTTATAATAATACAATTCATCATTATTATAATAATTAACTCCTGCCATTCCTCTACTTTAGGAAAGAATATTTGGCTAGAGATAAGACTGAGGCTTGTTACATTTACAGCACAGCTATAGTTTCTTTGAGTGCTATATTAGATTATTCATGACTGGAGTTTTAGAATCTGTACCTGATATGTTTCAAGTACCTAATATAAATTAAGCCACATTCTTACAGAGCAGATCGTTGCCAGATGGCTCAGCTTGGCAACATAGAGAGTTCATATTTGCAATACTTTTGAACATCCCAGCAATGATGCTCTATACTATACTACTTTCTCTTTAATGAAGATATTTACATCACTGCTACATTTTAATCATTATTTTCCATTTTAACAAAAGGAATAATGTTCTATGTATAATGCTGATGGAGGATTAGGTCCTTTTTTTTTTAACTTGTAAGACATTTGAGGAATGTATCTAGAGTCATGATGTCCTTCTGTCTGAGGTTCTGTAATTATTTTAATTCTGGACCTTCACCAGAACAAAGATTAAAAAGATACCTTCAGACATCCCAGAAGCTGTGTCTTCTAGTGATGATTCTGACTTAAGTTGCAGAACGCAGAACATTTCTGAATTAATACTATACATCATGCTAAGTGTTAATGTGGTTTATTTGGCTTTGGCTTAACGTATCATGTGAATTCAGTGATTGTGAATTTGTTTATTGTTGAATTCAGCTATTGTGATTTATTTAATAAACTATGGGTCATTTGTTTAACATGATATTTGAAGCCAGATTTTGTGTAGAGCAAAATTTGTTGCTTGTAGCCAAAAATTAAGGGGCTTTTCTTTTTCAAATTATGGGATAGCTCCTATTAATAACATCATGTCTCATGTTATTCAAAGGATCTTATCTAATAGAAATACCAGGGTTAGCTTAGGGTATTTATAGTAGCTGTTGAGTAGCAGGATATTACATTGTTTCCTCATTATCCACCCAAATTCCACTTATAGAAACTGGTCGGTAAAAACCACATTTTATTTCAGCATAGATGATGGAGACCTGTTCTCCATCTTAGCCAAGATCAGTAAATAAACTTAAATAGTATAGGCAGCAGGTTAAAATACATAGCTCTGACCTTCAGTAGAGAGGAATGCTGCAAGGGTTAGACTTTTTAAAAACCTCCAGATGCCTTTAGACATTGACTAAAGGTAAGAAGAGAGTACGCAGATGCTGAATTCAGACAAGAGATAATTATTTTGATTCTGGGAGCTCTGCATTTGAACGTTCCATTTGGTAAGTTATCTTGGATGTGGCTGCATTCCCCTTCAGGCACAAATTCATTGACTAAGGATCTTCCTTGGATCTAGCTTTGACATAGACAACTATGTAAAATCAATGGCAAGGTAGCCTGTTATCCGACTGAGCTAGTAAATCAGTTGTGACCTTTCGTGGAGGAAAGACATAATCAAGGTGGGATTACTGAAATGTGCTCTTCATAAAGCGGCACTGGAAAATGACACAGAAATTGTAGCTGACTCAGAAAACAGTGGCATAATTGGTGAATAATATCTCTCAGAGTCGTCCCAGTGTTGACACAGCCATACAGACTGCGGGTTGCTTTCTGAGTCAAATTCAAGATGCTCACTTTCATATGCAAATTTTGACTGGTATAAACTCAGGACCGTTTCCTCCCAAACAATCCATTTTATCCAGGTGCTGTCAGGGATATGTCTAACATGTGTAGGAAGATCTGTTTATTTGCAGATAGAGTCTTTACTTGTGGAAACATTGCCATTGGAATTGAGGCAGAACTAATGTTTATCATAATAGAAGACAGAACCTAAAACCTGTCTTTTGGCCCAGACATTTTTTAATCTAAATCTACATCTAGATATAGCATTGACCATTCCAGGCATCTCTTCCTAATCAGAGAACCAATCCTACAGGTCATGCTTCGGGGTCCTTGGTACTCTCTGAGCTTAGCGGTTTTCTTGCAGACATTTCATTATCTAACTAGGTAACATCTTCAGTGTACTGAATGAAACATCTGCAAAA